AAAATCCCCTTTTTTATTTGTTGCAAGTGTCACCTATGGTCTTCAGCTTTAGATCAACTTTGACTGTCTGTTCTTTTCTGAGTAAAACCTAATGTCCATATTTGTGCCAGTCTTAAAATAATAAATAAATATATATATGTATGTATATATATATCCTGTGAAGTCTAAACCATGAAATATTGATCAGAAAATCTTATTTAAATAAAACTTATTTTCCACATAAGGGCGTTTTATTGTGTGATACATGAGGCATTTTGATACTATGATCCTAAGATTGTGTACATTAGCTTTCTTTTTTTAAAGGAAATTTTTACATTAATGATGCAGAGTGTTTAAAAACAGGTTTAAACTATGATGCACTTACATTGACATGTTTAATTGTTCTTTTTTAAAACCTTGCAGTCATGTCTGTCTGAATAGATAAAGCTTGTGAGTAAAATGAGTTTCACGTTGAGAAAACAAGGCTTTGCTCACTTATTTATGCTGATCTAATTAAGAAAATTAACATTTTCTGATAGGATTTAACGTTAGGAGACATAATGAAGAAGACTTGTGCTCTTAAGGTTACATTTTTGCAGATTTTTGGCCCATTTATTATAAAGAAGGCTTAACTGACGTTTGCACTGTGGGAGATAGAACACAAGAATAACAGTTTTAACCCTGACACACAACCTCTGTGGCTTGAGATATATATCACTTTCAAGGAAGTTTGCTTTGAATGAGCAGTTGTGGTTTCACCGCAGCTGAACCTTGCGTCGCCTAAATGTTCTATTAATGTGCCGTTGCTGCACAGCATAACATCTGTTCAGCCAGTAGAGCTCACGGTTACTTTAATCTGATTGATAAACATCAGATAAGCCTGGTAGATGTTTTCTCCCAGTTGATCATGCAGGTGTTTCACATCGGATATTCTCGTACTGACGAGCTTGGCGGCCCTTTCCTCTCTGAGCAACATACATAGCCGCTTACGCTGTTCTGGTAAATTAGGACAGGCTGCTGGAGTTAACTTATATTAGTTGATCAGATGTTTTTATGGATGTAAGGATACATACTTTAGCAGAAAAAAGGATATGATTTCATTTCATTGAATCTTAGAGAGAGATTCATTTAAAAGTATAGGTTAAAGAAACTAATGTTTAATTAATTGAACAACCCTTTGAAAAGGCATTCTACTTAGTTTTTATTGACAGAATTATGTATCAATGAATCTCAAACTGTGCAGAGTTTCTTAACTGGTCCTCAGGGCCCAGTGTCCATTACATTTTAGGTCTTCTTCTTCTCCTTGAATTGGATTGGAAGTTGGGGGGGGGAAATGTAAAGGTTGCATTACCGCTATCTACTGATATGGAGATTACAAGATGACTGGATGTCTAGAAATGAATTTTACATATCTATTTTCCTACTTTCACTGGTCATCATTTGTATTATTTTGAGTATTAAGAAATGTATTTCATGTATCATAAATACATATTCAATCAACCTGATGAATGTCAAAATATAAGGTATATAAAACTTAATTCTTACTAATACAGTTTTGTTTTTTTGACTTTCTGAAATTTAAGTCAAATCATTCACCAGATCATACAGTCAAATTGATTTAAAGTTTTCTATCTAAGGAAAACAATGTGATTGCATCGACTCATTGACTCAAGGGTTAACCCTCACACTAAGCATGCTTGTAGCGACAGTGGAGAGGAAAAACTAACCCTAACCCTTTTAACAGGAAGAAACCTCCAGCAGAACCAGGCTCAGTGTGAGCGGCCATCAGCTGAGGCCGACTGGGGTTCAAAAGACAGAAAGAGGGATAGAAAAAGAAGCAGAGATACAAAAGGCAACTGTAAACTAGTTCCATAGAAGGCCCTGTCCGGGAAACACGCAGCCAGGCAGACGAGCTCCGAGCCAGCTCCCATGTTAGCGGAAGAAAGAGAGCACCTCCAGCCAGTCACAGTCATAGAAACAGGACTACACTGAAAAACAGGCTTATCTCGAACATCTATAAACAAAGGTGTTACAACTCTGACTAGGAATGTGATTTTTACCAGAAAAAACATTTTAATTATCTGCAAATGGAACAACAGAGAACAGAGTACTTTTAATAAATATAAAAACAGCATTAACTTAAGCAACGATCTTCTGCTTCGTCATCTTCCTCTCCTTTGCAGCTGTAGCATCTTTTAAGCACATTCTCCATTTAATTATTTTATTTCGGTTAAATCTCTAGTTCCAGTGGAGTGAAATAGACATTTCCTGTTGTCTGTTGTCAGGGTGACATGTCTGTTATCATGGTGACTACTTCGAATTAGGACTCCACCGATAATGGCTTTTCATACTTGTTACGCATGTACTTAACTCTGTATCTACTCAGAGTTGGCTAAACTAACTCTCTGCAGCTTTTATGTAACTGTAAACTCAGAGTTCCCGACCTTAGGCTAGATCAGTTTTAAGTATTTTAATCTGATTTTGTTAAACCTTCCTATTGAACTAGACCTCTGTGTTTTAAAGGATCTCTGTTGTTGTGTTCAGGTTTCATTGTTCTCTCTTGACATTATAAATATTGTACTAGATATGATTTAACAGAATCAAACTTCTTAAAGCTACAGTGTGTAATTTTCAG